GAGAGGAGAGGAGAGGAGAGGAGAGGAGAGGAGAGGAGAGGAGAGGAGAGGAGAGGAGAGGAGAGGAGAGGAGAGGAGAGAAAGTAAGCAATAAGATAAGGAGAGAGTGCCGAAGAAAGACAGAACTGGAGACAGTCAAAGAGAAAGATGCAGAGGTGTCAGTGGCTGACTGTTGAGAAAGAGAAAAAGTTAAAAAGTATGAGCCAGACATGATAATGGACACCTTTAATCCCAACACTCATCAGAGGCAAGTGGATCACTGTGAGTTCAAGGCCAGCCTAGTCTGCAAAGTAAGTTTCAGACTATTAGGGTTACACAATGAGAGCTTGTATCAACATAAAAAGAAAACGGAATTAAGTTATAGTAATAATACACCAAGAATTAGACAAGATCTCTTGAGTAAATTGGGAGCATGAGGATCATGAGACAGGTAGAAAGGGAGGGGAGAGGAGAAAATATATATAGCTCAATAAAAACAATTTTTAAAAAAAGAATCAACTAGTTAGGGAGATGACAATGCTAGTTCATTCCCTGGTAGTTCAGGGAGCAACTGAAGATGTAAGGACAGGGTCATAGCAGACCCTGGGAAGCTAAAGGCTCCTGTCAATCATAACCCAGACCTACCCTGGAACCAGACTCTGGAGTTTCTCTGACTCTGTCCCGACCTACAATTCATCAGTACAGAACCCCAAATGATGATCACCAACCGCTACTGATCTCAAGCACACTGAAACCCTACCTTGTGCTCACAGATTCTGGTCTTCCTCAATTAATGATACTCCATAGCCTGGGCCCCTCCGAGAGACCCTCTTCTCTGCCACCCTCTTCTCAACCCAAACCACCACTGGGTTGAAAGTCCTGCTCCTCAGCAGCTTAGTCACCCCCACAACGTAACCCACCATGTACTGTTAGGCCTCTGATTGTTCATAGGATGAACCCTACAATTCTTACCAAGACCAGTTATCCCAGCCCTCCCCTTGGATTCCCCACAGGGCATACAGCACTCACTGGGTATCAGTCTGGTCCATCTGCTTCTGTTGCCTCTAGTTACCCATACCTGAGGATCCTTCCCTTAGATCCCCTCCCACCAACTTGTTTCCAAATGGCATGACAAGATGTATCCCATAAATCAGCCTGATTCCAGTGAGTATCAGGTCTCCCAAACTGGCAGAGTTTAAGAGCCCCTCTGACAGCACACATTCTATTTATGTGCTCTCCAGGATGGATATGCCCAACAGAAAGCAGAGCCCTATGAGGATGTGGAAATGGGTGGTCGGAGCCCATGGTATAGAAGGAGAAGGACTGAGAAATGATAACTGGCTATTCTGGAAGCTTCTCAGAGAATGGAGGAGCCGGGCTGCTGCCTGGACACATCTAATCAGCTCCTCCTTCAACCTAGAACCTAGCAAAGCCAAACCCTGACTCAAGAAAACTCCAAAAGCAGAAAGCCAGAATCTAGGAAAACTTGGGATCACTAATTAGAACATTAAGTCACATAACTAGCCTTTGCCACATGCAGGGTAGATGTCTAGGGTCTCTGGCTGGCAGGGTCTACAAGAGTTGGATCCTCTGCTGTTTATCTTCCATTCTAATGATAGCTACATATTCTTTTGTGATGTTCATGGGGCATTTAACAAAATAAATTCATCTTCTAAGCTGTGAAATAAATCCCATATCTAAAATAATTAGAAGTAGTCCATGGTGTGTTTTCTAACCACCGCAGAATCAAACTTTAAAAAAAAAATCATTAAAAGTGAACTCTTTCTAAAAATTTTCCAAGTACTCAGAAACAATACATTTTTAAGCAAGAAAAAGTAAAAAGAAAAATTAGGACAAAATTTGAGAGTACAGTTTTAAAAATAGAGCATGTGAAGGGGTGATACTATAGATCTAAAAACAACAGGATCTCCATGACACAGAACATCAACATCCAAGAACATCCAGGAACATCCAAGAGGAGCCCCAGTGAGAGCCCATCACTCATGTGCAGCAGAAACTAGAGGCCTCAAGTTAGATCATGGCAATGAACACTTGTAAGTAAGATGAATGGACTAAAGGGGAAACTGTGTGACTCAGTGGCCCACACTACAGCTTCCATGACAAGATTCTTCTTTTTTGTTTGTTTCATTCTTTTATTCGGTTTTGGGTTTTCTTTTAAATTTGGTTTGATTTGTGGGGGAAGGTTGTAAAGGCAGAGGGCAGACATGAGGGGACAGGAGAGATAGGTGGGATCAGAATGCATGATGTGAAATCCACAAACAATCAAGGAAAGTTAAAATAAATAAATACATAAATATTATGAGATGTGAGACTAGAGAGAAGGCTCAGCAGTAAAGAGCACTGTCTGCTCTTCCAGAGGACTCTGGTTCAATTCCTAGCACACGTATGGCAGCTCACAGCCATCTGTAACTCCAATTCCAGGGGATCTGATGCCCTCTTCCGGCATCCATGGGTAATGGTGCAGAATGCAGGATAATGCATGCACAGGATGCAGACATGCAGGCAGGTAAAAGCAACCATACACATAAAAGAAAAAGCGGTAAGTCTTTTCAAAATTTTTAATGAGATGTTACAAAAGCAGTGCCTAGAGGAAGAGTCATAACACCACAGACCTATAGAATGCAACCTATAGAAAGCAAAGAGGCCTTAAATCAGTAAGCACAACCTCCACTCCAAGAAATCTAACAATAAGCAAATGATGAGAAAAATAAAGGTCTAACAGAGCAGAAAACAGTTAAATATAAAACAGAAATGGCAATATACCAAATTAGTTAGGACCAACAACATCTTCATTGATGTCAGAGACACCAATAAATCTCTAGCCAGAATGATCAGGAAAAAAATGAGATCACACATGAATGACTGGGGATGAGGTTGTCACAGTGACATCACCACAAACCCCGTGGACTTTAGAGGGATTCTAAGGAAATATTATAAAGGACTTTATGCCAATAAACTGGTAACTTAGGTTAAGTAGGCAAACTGCTTGAAGACACAAATATAAAACCTAAATCTTTTAAATTTGTAAGCAAATGAATTTACCTCTGAGAAAATACTTCAGGAGAAGCAGTTTTGCTGGTTAATCCTACAAAGCACCCAAAAAATAATAACACACCAATCTTTTAAGATAATTTAATGAAATACTTCCCCAGTCATCCTGAGAAGGCATTGCTTTGATTCAAAAACAAAAGAATTGCAAAGTAAACCAGAAACCATATTTCTCATAGCTATAGATTTCTAGGTAAATTTTAGTCTGTAAAATCCATAGGTAGAAACAAAGCATAATACACCCAGACCAAGTGAAGTTTTCACTGAGAATGCAAGGTCAAATTAACATTTAAAAGCCAATCAGTGAGCATACATGGTGCTGTGTACCTTTGATCCCAGCACTTAGGAGGCAGAGGCAGGCAGATCTCTGTGAGTTCTACCTGGTGATTTCCAGGCCAGCTTTGGCTAAATTGTGACTTCCTGTCTCAAAAAGAAAAAAGAAAGAAGGAAAGAAAGAAGGAAGGAGGGAAAGAGGGAGGGCGAGGTAAGGAGAAAGATAGAAAGGAAGGAAGGAAGGAAGGGAAAGAAAGAAAAAAGGAAAGAAGGAAAGAGGCATGGAGGGAGGGAAGAGAAGAGAGAGAGAAAGGAATCATAGTTTGGGGATTAGAAAGGTGGTTCATTGGTTAAAAGCACTCACTGATCTTGCAGAAGACCAAAGTTCAGCTCTCCTCACCCACAATGGTTGACTCACAATTGCCCATAGCAAAAGCTCCAGGGATTCCAGAGTCGGGCCTCTTCTTTAGCTTCCAAAGGTATCTGTATTCACACATACCCATGCTGGGGAATAACGCTCTTGTACACTGTAAAGATTTGTCACTCATATTGGTTTAATAAAATGCTGATTGGCCAGTAGCCAGGCAGGGAATATAGGCAAGGCAACCAGACTGGGAGAATTCTTGGAAGAGGAAAGGCAGCGAGTCAGTCACTAGCCAGATGCAGAGGAAACAAGATGAGAATGTCTTATTGAGAAAAGGTACCAAGCCACGTGGCTAAACATAGATAAGAATTAGGGGTCAATTTAAGTTGTAAGAGCTAGTTAATAATAAGCCTGAGCTAATAGGCCAAACAGTTTATAATTAATATAAACTTCTGTGTTTTCCTTTGGCATTGAACAGCTGAAGGAACAAGCAGGACAGAAACTTTTGTCTACATACCTACACACAGACACATAGTCTAAAATCATTTAAATCTCAGATGTAATCAGTGCAAATCACCAAAGCAGCAAATTTTAAAAGACAAATGCTTTAATTGTCTCATTAGATGCATAAAAACGGAAAAAATGTAAAGTCTATCCCTGAAAAAAAATAGCTCTCTGCAAAGACCTCACATGATGCTCTTCCTACAGGAAGCCCAATGACTCCACACTTAAGAGTTAAGTCCAGACACTTTCACCCAATGTCATGAGCAAAGCATGGCTGTATACCCCACCACTTCAACACAACACCAAAGATGCAACAGTCCAGTAAGGTAAGAAAAGGAATTTTGATAGAAAATAAAGAGGTACAATCCCTTGTCACAGCTAACATAATCAGCCATGCAGACACTCTAACAGAATCTAAAATAAGCTCATAGTGATAACAGACTGTTCGGCAAGTTTGCAGGATATAATGCAGATGCTCAAAACCCAAACATGTCCACATATCACCAACAAGCAATTGGAAATTTT